AAATCTAACTGCTCAGTGACGTTCAGTGTAAGTCTGAACTGGGAAAATAAATATTTCTCGATCATCTGCAGTATCATGAAATTGAGATACATTGATTTTGCTATTTTTAGTAAAGGTCAGCATGATGCACAGAAAGAAAAATGGGATGAAAGAAGCTTGGAGGCTTTTTATCATCGAGAGTGGATTATTCCTCAAGCTGCCGTGGTATGTTCAGGATGACCTTCAAGCAGAAGCTCTGGTACACTGGGATGACCTCTCCAAACACTAGACTGTATCTCAATACTTGTACCCAAGGAGGCTAATATTACATTTCAGGCACTATTAAGAGGAAGGAGACATAAGGTTCTGCAGTCTGCTAAAAGAGACTTGAAGATCTTGAAATGATCATGAAATCCACAGTCCCCACTACCTGCTTCACAACATTTCGTTGGGGCTCATTCACTCAAGCATGAAGCCTAGAAGCCTCCTAAAATCAAGTCTGATGGATTCTAAGTTGACAACCTGTAATTAAACGGCATAAACTATACTCCTTTTTTTGACAATAGTCACACAGAAATAAAAGAAAACTCAGGTCAGTTTTAATGTTTCATGTTTAACTTTATACCTGGTCTCCTCTTACTCACCATTACATGAAATAATGTGTATAATCCTTTTGAATTTCAGCTCGCCCTCCTTCAATGCACATTTCCTTTACACAGCTTCTCCTTCATGTATGCTTTTGACCATACTGAATGTAAATTTAGAGAAATGTAGCTAGGATTAGAAATAACTGGGTTTGAGAGACTATAGGAGTGGATTTTCATTATTACCCATTTGTTTTCTGTATCAAGCCCCAAATTTAGCCTACCTGCAAAACAGATAAAAACAAATAAGAGATTGTGCCACAGAAATGAAACAACTTTCTTTTTGAAGAAAGCATCTTTGAAGATTTTGTCAAGTAATAGGTTAAAAGAATCTAACTAACAAATTTAGATGTTGTATCATGAATCTGACTAGTTTACAATGGAGATTATTCAAGGATATTGTCTAGAAAATAAAGTGGATTTCAACCATAAAGCAAAGCATATGATGGCCAAAATCCTCCTCTATATAATTTTGTACATTTGTACATTGCACCTTGAGATTCTTACTAGTGGGCTAATGAATGGGCTTCTTGTTCTAATGTTCTTCAGAACATTTTTGCTAGTAGATTTTAATCTACCTACCTTTACCTTTTACCTTTTCAGGAATTGGTTCTTAAAAAAACATTTGCTCATTTGCTTTACTAAGAATAAGCATAGAGAGCAACACCACTAACACCCAAACTCTTCAAGCTTAATGGTGTCCGAAGCTACAACAAAGCAGCAAAAAAGTGATGACAGCCAGCAGCTTGTAATATAAAAAGGGGCAAGAAGTACTGGCTGTTTCTATGTAAAAGATTTCTTGGCTGTTTACTTAGCTCTGTAATAAAACACTTTTTTTTTTTTTTTAAATATGTATCATGCAGCACATTAGACCAACACCACAAATTTTCCTTTTCTAGAGGTTAAGTATCTGACAGACAGTACAGCCAGTTCTTCTTTGAGAAGATACAAACCCAGAATCACTCAACAGTTTAAGGACACCTAAATATTAAATTCTGTACTTAAGACTTTTTACAAATTGAGGTAGGCACTGCAGGAATTTGCATCTGTAAAATACTAGGACAAGTTTCAAGTGGAATATTTCTTTAAATAAGAAAAAGTGTGCCACCACTGCTAACTGGTACAATGGTGATATGGACTACAGGGATAACCGGTATTGTTTACCAACCATTTACTAATTCTTCCACTTTTCCATACTGACAGACACTGCTATAATGCTCTTGTAAAATGACTGTAAAGTGTCAAAGCGCCTCCAAATAAAAATTGAATAATCTACGAGAAGTTACTTTATTTCCTTTTTTTAAATATACATATACAAGATATTTTATTTCAAAAGCACAAGAACATTTTACAAGTTTCAAATTTACATTTTTGCAATTAAAGATACCAATATGTGCATTATCAAATAACTTCTTCTGTCAGCTTGGATGGAACAGAAATCAGTGGCATAAGCGTCTTGCGATCACTAAATACAGGTTATACTCACAGTGAACAAAACTGCATAGTAATTTATGAAATGAAAGATGACCATGCTAGTCAGTGAATGATATGGGAGCCCATTTGCTAAATTAGTAGGTGCAAACGTACAGAAAGATGCAGCTTTCCTCTCCCACTTCTTCAGCTACAAAGAGATTTCTAGAGCTTTAAACACGAGCTTACGTGCTCAGACCAGCTCCTGTCCTTATATACTACAGTTCAGACAGAAAACAAAATAAAGTGATCTCACTGCATATTTGATAACGGAATTCTTGTATCAGTGAAGTGCAAGGTAACTGAAAGTTTTTGATAAATGGATAGGTAAATATCAGAGGGAAACCGTAAATGAATACAGTTTTAGTATCAATGAGGCATACATTTCCTAGTCTTAATCCAATATTTTTGTTTTGATGACCTTACAAATCAGTTTTCTGGCGCATGCAAGTTTTCATAACAACTGTTCTTCTAAGTTCAGTATGCATTTCAAATACATTTTAGAGAAGACTAACAGAATTAATGTTTGTCTTTAAAGAGAGTTTCATATTCAGGTTTAAAATCTGAAAGAATCAAAATAAGGAGAGTGGTCTTAATTGCAAGAAACAGAATACCTGAAAAATATACCAAAGCCAACTATTTATATCGCCAGGGAAGGATTATAGCAGAAGTTATAAAAAAAGTATTTGAAATCAGAACAATATTTGAGTTCATTGGTACTCCATTTTTAGATGAGTTATGGTGCTGTTCAGTGCACTCATACGTACTGTAAAAACTTTAAAAACTAGGAGAACAATGATATTTAAATCTAAATCATCATTTGTGATTCTATACCTCTCATACAAAAAAAAACCACAAAAAGAAATCATACAAAAACACACTCTCAGACATTAATTTGAAAACCTCCCCTTGCAAGCCTTATTAAAATGACAGAAAAGAATCCAAATAGCAAAGGGGTGGGGAAATTTAGAGTAAATTGACAACTGCAAACTTTCACAAAGAAATGTGGTTTCCTGGGAAAGCATTTTTACCCATCACATTACAAATTCTCTCATGTATATTATGGTTGAAATTCAGAAAACAGAACAACAAACATTTAGAACTGAAGCACAATCACATATCAGAGAGAGAGTTCAAATCACAATGTGCTATTAACTACTGGAGGGCAAAGAGACAGACTTAGCCACCTTTTTTTCCCCTTTTCTGCTCTAACTGGCACTGAACCACTGAACATGCCCTCCCCAAAACACATGATTTCATTTATGCAGGCAGAGCTCCAAACAATCAGTGACAGAGGATGAAGAGTTGAAAATTCCTCAAATACGGACAAACTTACTTCTGATTCTAAAACTTGCTGCTTTTGGGCCTTGATTTTAGTCCAGTGATAGCTTTGAAGGTCTTGTACTTTACTGAAGTCTCTGGCTCTTGTATAACTTGCAGAGCTACACTACAACTACCTAACAGTATTTTCACGTTTGGTTCTTAGGGAAAATCTCAGAAGACAAACTGTAAAAGAAGTAAAACTTACCACCATCTAGCCAAATGCCGTAACCCTAGACCTCTTAGGATATACGACGTTAACAGAGGACAAATTCATTAGATAAAGTGCAGTTCTCGCAATGCAAAAAAGCACGGACTTTATTTTTTGATGCAACAAGCAAGATGGTAATTCCCCCATGCAACTTCCATCCCACACTTCTCCTTTAAAGAGGTCATTAATGAAAACTCTTCATTAAATCCCAGGATATAGCTGAACGCAGGCTTTTTCTGTACAACTTAATGTTTGCTGTACCTCTTGCTACAGATTACTAAAGGCCTGGCACCACTTCCACTCCAATATTATGCCACAGATCTTGACCTATTTAAAAGCTTCACTAAGCTTGGGAAAAGAATCCAGGAAGCAAGTAAAGGAGGCTTTTCCATAGCAACACCATTTAGGTACATTCTCAAGGCATGGAAGAGACAGAAATATGGTATATGACAGCATTTGGGAAGCTGTCCTCGTCAAAAACATGTGAAACAATTACAACTTCTCAGAAAAGTGGAAATATTTCTGGACCTGAATGTTCAGTAATAATTATATAATGTGGTTTTCCTTTTTGGAGGAAAAAAACAAAAGAGCAAAACATATGACATGAAATTCTGTTTCAATGTATCAGTAATACATCCAACTTAGAGAATCCATCAATTGTGTCTGAACTACAGAATCCACTTGACAGTAGATTATTTACTGCCACCCTCCTTTCCTTTTCCAAAGCACTGCTAAAAGTAAAGAGTTTTCACTAAAAATCAAGAGACTCAGAGCAGTTGCCAGTTGAATCCAAAGAAGATCTGATTCGTTTCTTGGCTCCTGGCAATCTCCTCTATGATACAATGTTGCTGCCATAGCAGATGGAGCTTCCTGTAACGCTCCCGACATAAGTGCAGAGGATTGCCTCTTCTTCATAGGAAAAAAAAAAGAGAATACCTAATAAGCATATCAGAATAGCAACTGACAAACTGTTCCATTAATATTCTAGCATTAACACTCTTAATGATAGCCAGAAAATATTAAATACTTGTATGAACACCAATTCCAACAAGTCTACTGGAAATGAAAAAAATTCTACATGCGACAAGCAATGACTGCCATTTCCAAGATGACATTTCAGCAATGGCAGTTGTTGCGCATTTCTGATGAAAAGCATACAAAGTATTCCTGAGAAAAGTAAGAAAGTTTAACAGTACCAAAAAAGTGTGTTTTTCCATTATGAACGACCCATTCATGGCTGGAAACTGCCATCAGGAATTTGAAGTTAAACAAGTTCACCAGGCCAAGATACATATTACAGTGCCATACATGCTAGCAGGAAGAACACGTTGTCTAGTGGGTATCAGAAAGAAAGAGATACCAAAATGGAAATGTAGAAAGTCAGTCAGTCAGACATTTACTTACTTCAGACCTGGATCTGTTTCTCCATACTCATCCAAGTAAGGAGCAGGATATAAGCAGCCCCTGGTTTTACCTTCAATGAGGACAACTTTGCATTCCCTGATTCTTAAGGAAAAAAATAGCACATTTAAAATACAAGACAACTCCCAGCAGGTTCTTAACTTTTTGGTGAGCTATATTTTAGGTCAAAGCAATGTTTCTTCATCTCAGACAAAAAGAATGAAGTGCTTTGACAATGTTGTGAATTTTGACCTTAAAATATTTCCCTTTACTCTTTAACACATTAACTTCTGGGTAGCTACTTACTTGAGAAACATACAGACTCCAGCTCCACATTGAAGAGCATGAGAAGTACAGGCTCCCAACTCCTCCCCATTCACCAGTTCCTGACAGCAAGTATTCTGGGAACACAACATAGCCCCACAGAATAAACACAATACTGGATGTTTTTGTTCATCATCAGAAGACCGCGGGCATCTAGAAGAAGTGTAACCAGAACGTTACAGGAATTAAAACTTCAGAAGAAATGTTAACTATGGATAATATTCCTTAAAAAACAACAGCAACAACAAACCTCAAAAACCCCAACCCACAAACAAACAAAAACCTAAGACATACTATGTCATAATCGTATTTCACATGTCTGTCTCCTTTGGCTATGTTTTTACACTGCTTGAAATATTTTATCTGCAAAATATCTGCTTTGAGCAGGAGGTTGGACTAGATGATCTGCTGAAGTCCCTTCTAACCTGAATTATGCTATGATTCACTCTTCCTGGCGTAAAACAGTGTCGACCTTCTGGGCTTGTTGTTTCCAGTGCAAAAATAATTTTCAGGCTTATGGCCAAACCAAATGCTCATTGCACTGGTGAAAAATGACCAGCAGATTAAGCTATAATAATTTTATATGCTATCCTATCAAACACAAGTGACTTCATTTAGAGCTGCTGTGTTTCAGATTTAAAATGAACATGTGCTAGTATTGGCCAGTATAACCATAACAGTGCCTTCACTTCTGCAAAATAATTTCTGTACATAGTTTTGACCAGTTACAGTAACAGCAAGAATATAAAAGTGACTAAAAGTGACAAAATAACTAGGAAGACAACTAAATATGTCACATCTTACCTAAACTGAGAGGCTTGGTTCAGAAGGCAGCTATAGTCTTCAGGAAGCTCTATTAAACTATTTCTTTTCCTAGGATACCTGGGTAAGTGAAAAAGAACTATTATAAGAATAATAAAGATCGCAGCAAAAAACAGAATGGATAGCTATAAATTCCTGCTAAGCTTTTGGTCCTTCCTGCAAACTTCTTCAGTCCTAGAAGCCCAAGTGAGAGGCTGCACATGGGAGCTTCAGCATTTCTATAGTCCAGCAAAAGGTAATGAAATTAAATTTCATATGTAACCTACATGTATGAAGGCATTTCACATTTTAGTTAGCTTTTGTTTTTTTCCTAGAGTAAGCTAGATAACTTGTCTAACAATATTGTACATTCTCAGTGAAGAGTCACTGCACGAGGAATAATACACAACCATGTAAAGATAAAGGTACTTTTGGTAGTAGAGCAGGAGGAAGAAAATACAAGCACTCTAACTTGTCCACCACAAGCACTTGATTCTTTCAACAGTTTTAAGTCAAAAACAGAAGAAAAAACACCACCACCACCAAACTTACCTTACTGCAATGCTTTTCCCCTTCAAACAGCTTAACACCACGGGGTCAGCACACCACCTATTTCAGACAAACATTTGCAGATGACGGTGTTTGATAATAATATACATCTAGGATCACTAAACTAGTAAGCAATAAGCAAACACAGAGCACAGATAAAGCATTGATAGTTCTAGCTAAAACTTCACAAGGAGAAGCAGCTATTCTTTACAGTTTTGCTTCAGGAAAAGAATTTAAGTTTGTATAAAAGAGAAAAACCCATGTGAAAAACAACAACATTTAAAATTATCAACATGCACATGGAAACACAGAGTTAACACAGAGGTAAGAAATGCAAGCAGTCTTCACACATATTCAAGTTCTCAAAGTGGGCTACAATACACAGCTCCTTTTGGAATATATCTGCTGAAAGCCACAGCCTAAGAAAATATCATACACTCTACTAGGGAAGTATTTATTGCTTTATATCACCCAATGGTTATTTTACAATGCTTTATTGCATGTTGTATGCTTGCTTAGAATGGCCAAATGTGTCTACCAAAACAGATAGATATTGGCAAGTTACTAAACAGAGGAATTGGTACGTCTAAGTTATCTTTTAAGTTATTTCTACAAAAAGGAGGAGAAGAGAGAGAGAACTGCAGCAGATGGCCAATCTAGTAAGCTTCATTTAACACATTTCTCAACAATCATCAAATTTAGTCTTCTGAAATAAGATTCTTTCAAAAAACATATGGGAACTTGCATGGTGATTTCACAACTGTTACTATTATATTAAATATGTAGCCTCCCACCTGAAACCTGTGTTTTTGACTGGGAGCAGTATGATGGATTTGTTAGCCCTGCCTCTAGTGATCATTTTCTAATGTTCACAAGTGCCTATCCTCTGTGTTCTCTTATAAGCACTGTTATGTCTTTGAGCAAACATGTAGGAACATATAAGACAAACTTATTAAATAATTTATTTGTGAAAATGCTACTAATTTATAAGTAATTATATATACTACAAATGCAATTAATCATAGTAAAATTGTATGTAGGGAATTATTTAGGTCAGCTATACGGACTGTAAGTTGGAGTCAACAGCTCAAAATGTCCCCAAATTAACAGAATCTAGACAACAAAACAGAACAGAGGTAAAAAAAAAACAAACAGAAAAAGCTAGTGTGAGCCAGAGAATTCTGCCAAGAACCAGGAATAATAATTAATGCAACTAAGTGCTCAAACGGTCCATTAAATACATGGAGACATTCTCCAACACAATATAGCAGGATTATTCTCAGAGTTAGTACGGGGCAGGAGGGTCTGTTTATTTTAAACTTGTGTTTTTGAATGGAGAATTTTACTAATTATTTCTTTACTGCTAGATTGCAATATATGTAACACTCAAATTATACCTTTTAACTATTAAGTTAGCTTTGACATTCATCAGTCTATTTTGGAAATCCAGAGAAGAAATAGTACAAAGCCTCACCCTGCCAGCCACATAACTTTCCATATGCTCATTCTATAGCTCATCTAATCAGCACTTTCGCTGTAGACAGATTAAAAATAGGCCAATGAACAGTAAGCGGCATACCATGCAAGCAAAGGTTTATGATAACTTCTTTCTCCATGAATGTCATGTAGGTCTACAAGCACTAGTCCCTTAAACTATAATTGTTTAATGTTCGAATTACCATAAAATATGGAATGTTTTATGTTTCTGAAGTGCTTTAAGAGATTCAGTATACCTGTGCACATCAAACAAATGTTTAGAACTCTAAATTTAGTTTAGAACTCTCAATTCTAAAGAATTTGAGCTCAATCATTTATTAACAAATTTGATCCAGAATTCCCAGAGGGCCATCACAACAGAAAAATGTGGCCTTTCCAGTCCCAATTAGTACCTTTGAAGCAGTGGATTTACTGTGTCCCAATATTCCTGGAAGAGCAGGAACAAATTAGTAGGTAGAGAGAGGTAACTACAAAGTGCCTTGAATTGCCCTTCTTCAGAAACTGCAAAAGAAAAAGAAAACATGAGCAATTGTTAAAGTGTTTCAGCACTGCTGAATAATTCACTCAAAACTAGAAATCTTCTGATCCCTTTTCCATTGAATAATACGTATCTTACAGCTTCAGCATAGCTCCTAGCTAGTACAATTGGATGTAATACCACTGACTTAATCAGAGTTATAATAATTTGCATTAGCTGAGGATCTGCTTTAGGTTTAACAAATTTGACATACATTATTAAGTAAATTAAGTCATGCATAAGTCACTGTAATAACAGAATTCCTTGCTTAAATTCCATTTCATTGCATAATATGTAACACGTTAGTGCAGCAGATTTCTGTACTTACCAAATTTTAGCTTTTCACTATCTTTTTGGCCTGCAATGATATTAAATTTTGCTATGATCAAGTCAGTGCTAACACATTATGTAAAGTTGGGCTGATTTCTAATAGTTTGCTGGGTGGTCATTTATTGGCTCTGCTACAGAAAATGGCATTGCTGATTCACCAGGAAGACCCCTCCCTATAGAATCAAAGTTCCAGACTAATGGTAAGGACCATAGCGTATCTCAAAGTGCAGAGATTTTGACTCGTATATCCTAATCAAATTCAAACTTAGTTCACAGTTCATATAAATCAATTTAAGATGCTATATTTTTTAAAATATACTCCAGGCTATTTCTCATGTGATGTAATTTAAGCCCCTAGAATTATCCTTAAATCACAGAATCTTTGTATCCACAAATACTTACTATCAATACATCATTGATAATTCCCATATTTGCACATACTCTTTTCCATGCAAAGGCTGAGACAACTCAGCTTCTTATGCCTGCCCCTTCCTATACAAATTAGTATTTCCTTTTCTTTCCAAATCTTACTTTAATGTATTAACTATTGTTAAGTTATTGTGAACATTTAAAAATTCCATTCTTCCAAGAAAATAGTAAACAAAGTCAATTTATAGATACTTTGCTTTCTCATATTTACCTTGTAGTAGTTCCTCAGGTGGAGAAACTCCCAGCAAATAATGAAAAAATAAAGCAGCACAACGAAGGTAAGGCATGATGCCTTTTTTAACACAATCCCACACAAGCCAGCCTGGAATATCCTGACTAAAGCAGCTGTAATACACAAACGAGAAATAGCTGCAGTAGTTCACAGTGCAAATCCTTCTAGCACTTTCACATTTTGGCTAGCATTGGTAGAATGGCAGCTGTGTAGAAGCAACACTGATGTACCCCAAATTCTGTGAAACACAGCCACCAGCACCGAACTTCTGACTTCCCCTTTGTCCAAGGAATGAGTATTGAGTTTATGTAGAACACTTACATTAAGCCTTCAAATTATCTCAAATTATATTTTTCAGAATTATAAAAAATAAATAGCCAATACATAGCTGTCCATCTCTAGGTAACTCAAGATAACCTGATTTAAACTGTGCAATACAGCATCACACACAGAGCAACTGATTCTTACACTGGTTGGTTTTTATTACCGAAAGCCAACAATTTTTTTAAATGGAGGAAGTTCTTCATGCAGTTGGTGTTTTGAATGCAATTCAAAAATGAGGAAAAAAAACCAAACAGACATACATAAACAGGAACAACAAAACCAACAGAATTAAAAAATTAATACCTCATACTTCATTATGGAAGTCACAACAGTAACACTCAGATTGTTTAAAATAAAGCTATACTAATTCCATTTTTGACAAAAAACACTGCAGTGATACTCATCTCAGTAATGATTCTTGTAGTTTGTGCGATATGAGCATTTAGTCTAAATCTCATCGTAAATTTAACTTACTTACAGTGTTCCTGTTTTCTAAAAATTTTAAACTTGGTTAAATTCACATTTTCGTGAACAGGATGTTCACACAAATGTTGACCAGCACCTGCTGAGGAACAACCTCTAAAGCTGTATTATAATATCATAGACCGTTGCAAAATTATTATGCAAATTGTGCTATTTAAGCACAGATAGGTCAGAGTTAGAAGACGACAATGCATACACAGAAATTAAAACACTAAAAGTTTCAGAACTGGGTTGCCTAAACTTTGGCATTTAATACTGTACCTAGGCATCTCAGTACAGTGACCTGACTTTCCAAAAATGCACAGCACCTCTGATTCTAAGCTTATGCTTCAGAAAAATTACTCCTATTATTTAAATTCTAAATATTTCCAAATTTAGACTTAAAACTTTTAGACAAGTGGGTAGCATTGTCAATCCTTGAAAAACATATCTTTGCAACTAGCCTTGGTGAAGATAAATCAAAGCAGAATTTGTAGAGGGTGCATCCATATTTTCTAGTTTACTTCACACACAGATACTGAAGTACTAAAGAGCTGTAGCTATACCTATCAAAAAAGTCTGAAAAGATGGGCACTAATGCTCAAACAAATAAGCAACTGTGTTTAGCTTTACACTTCTCCCCCTCTTACAGGAGAGCCATTTCCTTCTTTCTGGCCTCCACCTATAATTGAGAGATCAAACAAAAAAAAAAACAACCAATCAAGGCAAAATAAAAATAACTACTATAGTTAGTGGTTGTATTTCTCTCCAAAATGGATATAGGTATTTTTTCATCTTTAGACTAAGAATTTACTCTGTTGTCCACAAAAAGTAGCTATTTTAACTAAAAGTGTTCCTTTCACCAGTTTCCTTCTTTTCAGTATTCAGGAGTATGGGAAGAAAGCACAAGGTATTGTGCTAACTCCCCACACAAAATGGATAATTTTTTTCCTGTTTTCTGTGTTGTTCAGGTCAATCCCTGTAGACTGCCATCTTTCTAGGAAAATGCAGTGCTATAACTGAACTGCTACTTACCCACCGGTGTACTGGCAAACCTCTCTACAGAAAGACTGTGCAGACCGTGCCTCCTCACTGTTGTCAGATGATCGAGCAGTAGGGGATTCTGCACACAAAAAGATGAATCCCACTGTAAATGCACTTCATTTGTGACACACACCTTTTTTTTTTACATATACTGAGCTCTTTTTTTTTTTAAATTGCATTACAGAAATATTTCCACTTTATTGTGCTTAATTCTTTTCTATTTGCTGTTTTTAACCTAACAAATGTTCTCCTAAAACTGCATGCTATAAAGAAGAATCAGGATTACTGCCTCATTGCTCATCCTCATGTAAAAACTGCTTCCTTCCCTTGAACGTTTGAAGTTATTGTCCTACGTAGATTAAGCTACAGGATTTTTTTTTTTTTTTTTTAATTCCCATCATGCTGAAGAAAAAGGAAAGCAGTAGCTAGGAAGCCTGTAGGTTACTGACACTTTTTAACAGTAGTAAAAAATACAAAGAAAAGTTAAATTCTCTCCTAACAGTTTATAGGATTCTGCATTTGGAATATTTTCTGGGTATTTACTACGTTGAAGGGTAAAGAAAAGTTTATTTCCCAAATCCATATTAACTGTCACTGCACAGCTCAGAGTGCTGCTACTTGGGCAGAGCTTTGCTTCTCCTACAAGGAGTGAAGAGGGGAAAGTTACCACTCTGGAATGACTGACTTGAGCAAGTATTGATATGTCAATAACTATTTTGTTTTCTTAGGCTAAGCACACAGAAAGGATATAATAAATGCTCTGAAAATGATGTAGTGCTATTTATTTTTTTATCAGAAAACTGTTATTACTACCTAGCACTAAGTATCATTTATTATGAGGAAGTTTATACCTGGAAGACACTAGTGGTGTCGATCCATTATTTTTAAGAAATTGTGTAAAAATGCCAGAATAATCCAACCCAAATATGGCTCTACCTGTTGCTGAAGAGACGACAATTTGTGTTATGTGTGCCAGTGTTGTCAGATGGAAGAGGTAGAGGTGGTTATAGGCTGAACTAATTGATGAAGGTTGCAAGTCTACAGCATCCTCCCAGTATAAAGATGGAAAGGATAACACAACTCCCACCTAGAGTGAAAGGGAAGGAGCAAATATTAAAGTAACAGGAATTTGGTAATAATTACATGGGTAATAGAAATTATATTCTCACTACACATTTATACTTCATTTCTGTAGTCAATTTAAATATGTTCATTTATCTTGCTAGCTTTAATTCACAAAGTATAGCAAAAACTCATTGGAAAATATTAACCATTTGTGCCCCTCTAACATGTAGGAAACTCAGACATAGTTCTACTGTAATTGCCGGTTTAAAGGTACACCAAGAAAGTCTGTTCAATTCCTAGAAAGCTTAATTTCTGGTTTTTGACAGAAGACAAAGCACACTGAAAAAAGTGAGAAGCATTAGTTAGAAAGGCAACCAGGGCAAGATAGGTTTTATTTTCGTGGGTTTGTTTTTTTATTTGTTTTTTTGTTGTGTGGTTCTGTTTGGTTGGGTTTTGGGGGTTTTTTTGTTGGGTGTGGTTTTGGGCTTTTTTTGTTTGGTTTGTTTTTTTTTAACAGTAGAAAAAACTGTAATACAGATTCGTATTAAGAAGAGAAAGAAGAGGGTAAGAAGAGTAAAGAAGGTAATGAGATAGAATGTGAAGGAATCAGAAGGTATGAGGAGCCTATTGAGACAAAGGGAGGTGAAGGAAACAAGCTGAATGGGTGCATTTCTCAGGTGTTTTTGGAGGTTTGATAGCAATGGAGGTGGTAAAAAGATGATTGAGATTGCAAGCATGAAATTTAGTAAGAGTGAGACAGGAAAGACTTGAAAGTTAGAAGAACAGCAGAACTAAAAGTAAACTTTCGTATATAGCAGCCATACGTAATCACTTGCTTGTATGCAGTGCTCATGTATAGCCATTCAACTCATGATAATGCAGGACTATCTACAGGGTAAAGTACACAAAAATACATGCTCAGAAAAAAAAGTATTAATATGAAGAATAAATGAACCTGCTTACCAAAATGTGGAACATATCTACTTCTAAGAGGGATGGAGTGTCCTCCACTTTCAAGTTTGGTAGAAGAACTAAAAATTAAAGATATCAATTATTCATTTGATATGTATTTTTTTCTTTTGGATTGAACCGCAATATCAGAATCTGATTTTAGAGCCTCTATCATTTCAGTGTTTTCATCAAAAAAATGTTCAAGTCTCTGAAGTAAGGAAGTATCTGTTTAATTAACAGCTTACCACTTACTTAATTGATTGTGCATCTGCTTAGCTATTTCCACATGCCCAACCAGCTCACAATTTTAATGACTCTATGTTCAAAATTCTGAGATAAAAATCTTGATTTATTTCTCCAGCTCTAATAAAGCATGCACAGTGTTAAGGGTGAAATCCACAAATGTACTTAGGCACTGCAACGTTAGATGCCTCACAACCTAGCCCAATACAAAAGCCTGTACCACACCTAAAGAATCCTATCAAGTAGAAGGCAAGTCAAAGAGTGAGATTCACAAAGGCCACCATGTTAACCTAATCAGTAAGAAACATGGAGCATAGCTATGTGTCTCAAACTAGCTCTCCCTGAGACAAAAATATCTCAAACTAGGCTGCAAGCAGCCTTTTGAAAGTACTGAAAAGATAAAGTCTCACAATTGAGAGAATACCTGGTTTGTACCTTTATCCACCTATTTAGCACAGAATTTGAGTAATTTTGAACATTGCCAGAAAGAGATTGTTAACCATCTGTTACTATTCCAGATCTGGGTATCTCCAGGCTAGGTAATCTGGGATAGAAGATTTTTTGGGGACTTCAATGATACAGGGCTGGGTTAACAGAATTATTGATTACTTAAATTCAGGCAATACTCCATGATTTCAGGCAACATTGGAGAAACTGAAGTTAGCACTGTTATCAGTAGTCTAACCTTTGCTTCTATGCTGTATTAATGTGTGCGTCATTTTGCAATAGAAACTTCTGCAACACGAAAGGTAGTAAAGAAAAGGAATAAAATACCTCCTAGAAGACGAATCAGATGTTTCTGAATCAGGACCTGTGGTGATGTTGTTCTCTGAGCAGCTGCAAACTGCACTAATGCTTTAAGGCCACTGTGCTAGAGAGCAAGAGAAAATGGTTGGACAGGAAAAAAAGGAAAGATATAATAGTGAAATAAAGCTGTAAAAACATATCTACTTCTACAAACAGAAAATACATTGATAAGTGAATTTAATATGAAATTCCATGTATAAGTAGAAACATTATTCTTCCAAAATGCTCTTTATGTTATCAATCTAAACATATCCCTCAACAGAGAATGATCTTGATGTTAGCAACTTCAACAGTGTTTTTTATATATGTGTGTGTATTTTTTATATATATATA